TTTCCTCCCAAAGAACAGGAGCTACAGGGGGAAGGAGAGAAATAAACTTTGTTTCTCTTCTCTTTTCTGGAGCGCTCGCGTGTTTCCCCAGTTTAAGGCTCTCCCTGCGCTCTTGGAGATGTCCGTGGATAAAGCAGCGTCATTTAAAGTTAGCTGTAACGACAGACACTTTTATCTGGAGCAGAGGGGAAGTCTAGGTCGTCCTCCAAAAGGCCTTTTAACTTCACCACGACAGTCTCGTTGCTGTCCACTCTCCCACCGCACCCTGGGCTGTGCAGAGGCTCGGTGCCTCAGTTTGTGTTCCGCAGGTGCTCTGCAGGGTGGGCACAATGGCAGAGACCCGTTAGAGCTTACACCGAAGTCTGTGGGGATGGCTGTTGCTTTAAGGGGCAGCAAAAAATTTATTTAACCAAAATACTTGTCTCTGCATTTTTTTCTGATTTTTAAGACCATGTATTTTTTCTGTTCAGAAAATCCCATTCTTCTGTGATCATCTCAATGCAGATCGAGGTTATGTGCAAGGGCACAGAACGTAATTGCTGGATACTCTTATTTGCTTGAGGCTGTGTTGTGTGTAACGTGTAATAACCTCAAGTTTTCAAGATCTGGTCTGAGCTAAAGCTAGATGCTGCAGCAGAAGTGCAGCTAATCCTGGGGCAGAGGGAGGTGGGGGGGGTGTGTGTAGAGGGTACAGAGATGCTTTTCTTTCTCTGTTTCTAAGGTTGGGTGGTTTGTGTTCTGCAGGATCCCAGAGTCCTGGACAGCATGCTCCCATACCTGACGGCGTACTATGGCAATCCCCACTCCAGGACCCATGCCTACGGCTGGGAGAGTGAGGCTGCCATGGAGAAGGCAAGGCAGGTAAGTCTTCAGCTCTCTGCAGTCATGGTGGTTTTCCCGCTGGTGAGGAAATTCAGTGTTGAAAGAAAATCAAAAGTAATGGTAAAACCATTGTAGTTAGTTCTCTGTTCACTGGATTTAGGAGCTTCCTCTTTGCGTAGATATACTTTAGCAGATTTATTGCAAGAAAAAGCAGTGAGGTTAGAACAACTGGAATGGCAGAAACCAATACTTTAGGCAAAGGTGCCTCAGGATTTTTTGTTTCCTGAGGTCACAAGCATGCTGCTGCAGTAATTGGGCTAACTTTATATCTTAGCATTATCCTAATCTTAGGTATGGACCTTTGTCATTTTTTTTGGAAGTGTTATGTGCTGGGCTTTTGTCTACTTAACTTTTCTTTTCTTTTATGACAGGCTAATGCTTAATACCACTACTGCTAATAACTGTGAATTCCTTATGTATTTTCTGTTAATGCAGATGTTTAGATTATTGTACCTGTAGCATAACTTTGTGAGATACTAGCTGCAATCCTTTTGAGGCTGAGGGGGATATTCTTGAAAACATTTTGCATGTGTTTTGCTCTGGTGAATTCGTTGTATTTTGTCTTAACAAATCAAAATTGTGTTTCTTTTTAAACAGCAAGTTGCAGATTTAATAGGAGCTGATTCAAGGGAAATTATATTTACCAGTGGTGCAACAGAATCAAATAATATGGCCATTAAGGTAAAAGGTTTATACTGATAGTTATTTATTATGTTATAATTATACTCTTAAGAACTGTAGGCATCTTTCAACAGTTTAAATGCTAATATGTTGGCCTAGTTAGCAAACATTTACATTCCTGGATTTATGGTTTGTGGTATTTTGCTACATACATGGAGGAAATACTGGGATGTTTTGGTGCCCAGGACATGGTTTTGAGGACAGAGTACAATACTCAATGTTTGTCTTACATACACCAAATACAATCCTTCAGCTTATGTAATTAAAATCGATAGCATGAAATGTAGTGGAGATGCTGATCACAAACTTTTTTCTGGCTAAGACTAGGTAGTGGTTTAACCTTTAGTATGTGGTTGCTCACCTTCTCATTGTATACGACCCCATTGCAGACGTTTTTTAAAAAGTATTTCCGTTAATAGTATCTCTCAGTTAACATTTTCACAGGCTTTTTGAAAAGTGAAATGCTTTGAAAAATGAGTGCTGATGGAAATATGTAGTGTGAATTACATGTCAGTACCTTTTAGATTCATGACTTTGGGGCAAACGGGGAAGATCCAAATAGATTATTATTCTTATTTCAGTTCATTTTGTGTAAAGCTTGCTTGCTTCAGTGGTCTAACTGCAAATTTCTTGTTCGTGGATTGTGCCTGACAGGGTGTTGCAAGGTTCTATAAATCCAGAAAAAAGCATATCATTACTACGCAAACAGAGCACAAGTGCGTGTTGGATTCTTGCCGTTCCTTGGAGACAGAAGGTTTTCGGGTCACATATCTACCTGTTAAAAAAAATGGACTCATAGATTTGAAGGTAGGTTTAGCAACCTGACAGAAAATAGAAGAGGTTTTTGCTTCAAATTGATGCTAAAGAGGAGCTTGCTCTTTAGGTAACCAATTTAGAAATACAAAAAATACCATGTCTAAATCATTTTGACTCCAGAATGATTGATCTCAGAATGACTTTAGAAGCATAGTAAGAGTGGTAAACAAGGGATCCCTTAGATGGCCCATCTAAAAAGCAGCAGTAAAGAAAGGGATGCAAAACAAAATAAAGCTGCTGGTGGTGTGAGGGGTGCCAGCAAGTAAGCCTGCGGCAGATGCATGTGGGCTTTTCACAGAGGACTTGTGTCCTCTTGATGATAGAGAGGAAAGGGTGATAAATATCACATGACAGAATGAGAGTCACAGTCAAATCTCTGTCACAGTTGGAGAAGCATTTTCTGTTCTGCCTGGTGCTCTAGACATTTTCTCAATCAAAAAATCCATCTCATCCCACAGTTCACCTGCTGTCGTTCATACTCCTGCAGGCAGAGCTGTTGCGTACCCAATAGAGAGCCCAGGACGTGACTAGGATGGAGCTGGCTTTGATACAGGAGCTAGTGGTGAAATTTCATGACCTGAGCTAGTCAAGGTATCAGGCACAGCGATGACAATACTCCCTTCCGATTGCTGTCCGTGAACTGACCCTTCTGGGTCTACTGGCCGCAGTCTTGGGATTTAGAAGCTGTATATGCTTATTTCGTTGTTTGTGTCCTGTAATACAGGACAGCATCAGCTTTATTTCTAGCCCCATCATCTGGCTTGGAGAGCCATTGTGTGTATGTGATGGGGCAGAGGGATTAGGCCTGCAGGCACAGAAGTGTTAGTCGTGTTCTCTGAGAAATTGGCTGGCACACTTCTTTGCATGACGCTTTCTTATGTATACTGCAGTTCCTTTACAGCCAGCCTCACTTTGTCTAGATGTGGCTTAAGCTGTTTCGTGGGTGGTTAATTCATTAAAGAAAATAGTTCAGGGGAATGTATGAGACATAGCAAAAGCCTGTTCTGACTTGATTTAATCAAGACAGGTGGTGTGGTGCATACCAGGGGTAGGATGTGCAGAAGTGCAATTGATCATGCTCCTCTTCCTACAGGAATTTCGTGTTCACGTGGATTAGTGCTCTTGCCAAGAGTGTTTGTCAGAACTCAAGGGGTTTGTTGGTAGTGCGCTGGTTAGGGGGCTGGTGGTTAAGATTTACTAGCGAATTGAAGACATGCCCAGGAATCTTGCTTGTGCTGTTAGTTGCAACTTCTGTCTGTTTGAATATTTCACCAGGAGTTGGAGGCTGCGTTCCAGCCAGATACAAGTTTGGTTTCTGTAATGACTGTGAATAATGAAATAGGAGTAAAACAGCCAATTCATGACATTGGTAAGTACACTATGGCTTCCAGAGGCCAGCTAATGTCACTTCTGCTTCATTTTACTTAGTATTCTCACAGCCAAGTGCTACTGATGCAAAAGATTAGACATAGTATAGTTAAGGGATAAATAGTAATGCTGTCCCAAATAAAAACTTATTTTAAACAGGAAATGAGGATGAAATTCAGTACTTCTACAGTGAGTATTGCACAAATTATAGCCTTGTAGTACAGATCGGCTGCAGTGGTTCTAGTTTCATTCTGAATTATACAATGGATGAAAAAATTGCACAGAATAACTGGCCAAATTGAGTTTGTGTACTATAATGGTTTATTGAGCACTTGTAGTGTTTAAGGGGAGAAATGTGCAGAATTTGGAGCGGGATGGTAAGCACCACATGTAGACACCCCTTCTCCACCAGTATTGCCATATACAGTCATGAGCAATTGGTTTGGAGGTCAAAAGGCTGCTGAAGAGCCAGGTTTCTGGAACATGAGGCAGGGAGAAGGTGAACCAGGCTCTGAGCAAGCAGGTGGAGTGACGGGGACTTCCAAGCAGCCTGGCAAAGCAGGTGAAGGGAGAGCTGGAGAACCAGGGACATTGGAGCAGACAGGGTGACTGGGTGGCCCCCATATGCAGCTCCCTGGATCCCACCGTGATTCCTTGATAACATTTCCCATGACAGTGACAAGACACGCACTCCTCGCCCCCTTCATATTCAAGATGTCCTTTCATAAGATGTTTGAGTTTTTAGACAGTTTTTAGGCTTTGGCTTCTGCCCTGGAGTTTATACTGCATAGTTCTGGAGGGTATTGTTTTCCCAGGCTGTGGCAGGCATCTTATCCTGTTGTGCAGCTGATTTTTCTCTTGCTTAGCAACTGCATTTTATTTTTCTTTATTATGCTCAAAGCAGCATTTTCCCAAAGGCTCTTCAAGGTTATATTTCTTCATTGACAAGTAATTGACCGTCAGTGAGTTGCTTATAGGCCTGAGGACTCTGTTTTCCTCCTGTGCTTATATTGTCAAGGCCGTTACTGTTGTCCCACACTTAAATGCCAGAGATACCAGGTACCAAGCTCTGGTTCCACAGTAGATTCTCACAGCACTTTGATAACACAGGTAATAGGCCTGGACTGGGGCCTTGCAGAGTTAACCTAAGGCCCTGTTAGTGTGAGGGCTATGGACTGATGTTAGCAGTAGCAATGCCATTCTTGCTGGAGCACAGGAGGACAGCTTCTCCTGTGAAAGGTAATGCTGAACTTGTTGTGCAAGGGAGAGGTCTGGAATGGAACTGTGCTAGGTACGGATTCTGTGGAAGATGAGTTGTGAGGTTTTTTGATGACAAATAATATTTAAGTTCACTGCCCATGAACATTACATTGCTTGTTCCTTAGTGTATTTTAGCTCTGGATGCAAAAGCATTGATTACAGGCTTGAGTGACTTCAGGTGGGAGTAATCAGCGTGTGTAAGGAGTAGTGACAATTCTGAGAATGTTTTTGAAGCTGAGTATTGCAAAACTTGGAACATAGAGGAAATGGCATAAAAATACTTGACAAGTATAAACTTGAAAGTAAGGGTGGCTTGTACTGGGCTGGTGTAGAGAAGAAAAAGAATCAAGAAAAAAAATTTTAATTTTGTCCAACTGTGGAGTCATCCCTGTGGGGACACTTGGATATCCCATGCAGCCATTTGCACTTAAACTTGGTAGGTGTGGGTTTGGAAACAGTCTCACTTCTTAACAGCAGAAGACTTTTTAACTTCTCAACTGAGGAAATTCACCATAGTCTCACCTGCTGACCTGCCTAAACCTGTGCCCAGCTAGATATCAGCTAGAATAGCTGCTACCACAGCTTTAGACAGTTGTCGCGAATGTGTGGTTTAGGGTCACTCAAAGAATCACCATCAGAGGTATTAGCAAAAGTGGTTTTAATATGAATTTAACAAATTTGGTGGCAAGGTTCACTCTGTTACTTACTATGTGAATGGGATATACATAGGAAAATCAATTTAGAATCGAGCTAGAATAATTTAACCAGAGATGAAAGGGATAAGGGAAACCCTCCCATTGAGTCATGAGGTTCAGAATGGACCCCCTTGCTTTCTAAACTCCTCAGAGAGGAATCTAGGTGCAGCTAGATCCAGACTTAGTCCTAGACTTGATCAACGGTTTAAGTTTAAGAGAAGAAATACAAAGAGGAAGGGGTCAGGGAGACCATCCTATTGAGTCATGAGGTTCAGAATAGGCCCCCTTGTTTTGTAAACTCCTCAGAGAGGAGTTTAGGTGTGGCTGGATCCACTCCTAGTCCTAGACTTGGTCGATGGTTTATGTCTAAAGGATTTCGCAGCACTTACTCATTTAACAGTACTTAATAATTGACTAATTTAACATTTACAAAGTAATTCAATAGGATTTACTATAATCATAACGGTGACTTAAGTTGTTATAGAGTGTTTAAATCAACTTATACACACATGCACGCAACCACAAGAGATACATATATATGGGGATAAATATAGGTATATGTGTTAAAAATTCCCCTCGAGTTCAGTGAAATGCTCACTTCAAATGTCTTGGCATTTCTCAATGAATGAGGAGGATTGAACCTCGAGGAGTGAAGGGTTTTGGCCCAGGCTCTATTGTCAGCTTTCAGCAACGATCCTCCGAATTTTGCAAACTTGAGAGTTTGCGAGCTGTGAGAGGCGTTCTGCTCAGAGGGAGGTGCTGGTCGCAGCCCACTGCAGTCCAGGAGACCTCAAAGGGTCTTGCTTAGGACCAGTGTTTATAGGTTCACAAGATGATTGGCTTTAGTCATTAGTAAACTCCGTTCCTGGCCACAATCCGAGTCCATGATTACAGGAATTCTCAAAATTCCGGTGACGATGGTAGTGTGGCACGTAGTGCCATGGTCTAGCTGACGTGGTGTTAGGGCAAAGGTTGAACTCGATGATCCCAGAGGTCT